TTTCAGCACCTGTGGCATGTGACATTCCTGTATATGCCCTGACTGAGGATCAAACCCACAACCTTGGCACATGGGATGATGCTCTAATCAACTGAACTATCCAGCCAGGCTAAAATTAACTTTTAAATTCATGTTGTAGCTCATAGATGGGTGTTATTACCAATGTACACCATCTGATAACTTTCTATTTTAACTATGCATTCTTGCTAACTAGATTCTGAGATTTTAAAATCACTATTTTAAATTTATGTGACTAAACATTCATGACCTGTGGAAAAAAGTCTTGGTCATTCTGCCCTCATTAGAATCCTAAATTTGATTTATAATAAGAGAACATATTATCAGTTAAAGGAATTTGTTTCACAAACCAACATTTTCAAATGTGGAGTCTATGAAATAAAAAGCAAAAGAGAGCCCTTAGTGGTTAAAAGACTCCATGCTCCACTACCAGGTGGTAAGTGTTTTCAGTTACAAAACTTTGTCTGTTCTTCATGTGTCTGCAGTGCTCAGTGCTTGCCACATAGTGGGCACTTGGTACAAATTTAATTGGAAGCACGCCAATGGACCAGAAACATTACAGCAATACTATATGGTTGCTAATGCCCTTCAAAAGGCTAGGCCTAGGCCAATCTCCAAAGGCTAGGACAACTTCAGAATGTGTTGTGTGGACAAACCCCTGAGTTAATTGGATGCCCTCTTCACATGTTTTGTGAATTAAAACCTCTGCAGACACACCTTTGGGCACTATCACCTCCTGTGAGTGGTCCATGTGGTTTTGATCTTTTCTTCTGGTGTAATATTTCTTGCTTATCTCTACCTTTTAATTTTTGCTATGTCCATTTGTGTAGATTTTTTTTTTCCTTTTTCTTTTTTAAAGCAATTTAAATCTCTTGCAGAGGCACATGGGCAGGCCAAAACAGCCAACATCGGCCCTAAGAAACTATTGTGGAGGTCTGGGCATGCTCAGTAATGCCCTGATTCATTTTCCCCTCTGCTTTTGGCTATAAAGCCACAAATGTTATAACTTAAGGCAGAATTTTATCCTCCTCTTCCCTCTCCTTTTTCTTCTCCCTTTCCTCCCTCTCCTTCTCCTTCTCCTCTTCCTTCTTTTTAAATCTGTTCTCTTCTTTTTGCCCCTAAGAGTTCAATTTACAAGGTTGTTCAAGAAACATTCTCCTATTTATAGTCCTGCAACTTTTATATTTCATGTACACATATATTCCTTCTTTACTAAATGCTTTGAACTACTTTGTTGGTTTGAGGAAATAGGCAAATATCTTATATAATAAAAGAGAAACATGCACATCAACCATCCCTCTGCTATGCTCAAGCCATGCCTACAAGCCACACCCACCAGCCAATCAGGAGTGAGTATGCAAATTAACCCAACTAAGATGGCGGTGGCCATGGAGCTGTAGCAAGCAGGAGGCTTGGGTTTCCCCTGGTGATAGAGGAAACCAAGCTTCCCACCTGCCCTAGCTGGCCCTGGGCTCTGTTCAAGGCTACAAAGTTTCAATTATAGAATATAAATAAATCCCCCTACCCCCAAAAAAAGAAAAAATGGAGAGGCTAGGAGCTTTGGTCACCAGGGGGCATGGCCAGCCTGAAAACAGCCATCAGCCCCTCACCCAGGCTGGCCAGGCACCCTAAAAGGACTCCCCAACCCTGAAGGGGCTTCGTCAGCCTGCAAACAGCCATCAGACCCTCACACAGGCTGGCCAGGTACCCCAGTGGGGACCCCCACCCTGAAGGGGATGTGGCCAGCCTGAAAACAGCCCTCAGCCCCTCACCCAGGCTGGCCAGGCACCACAGTGGGACCCCCACCCTGATCTGGGACACCCTTCAGGGCAAACCAGCCAGCCCCCACCCATGTACCAGGCCTCTATCCTATATAATAAAAAGGTAATATGCATATTGACCCTAACAGCAGAGCAACTGGGAATGACTGGTCACTATGACACACACTGACCACCAGAGGGCAGACGCTCAATGCAGGAGCTGCCCCCTGGTGGTCAGTGCACTCCCAAAGTGGGAGCTCTGCTCAGCCAGAAGCCAGGCTGATGGCTGCCAGCACAGCGGTGGTGGCAGGAGCCTCTCCCACCTCCTCAGCAGTGCTAAGGATGCCTGACTGCAGCTTAGGCCTGCTCCCCACTGGCAAGTGGACATCCCTCGAGGGCTCCCAGGCTGCCAGAGGAATGTCTGACTGCCAGCTTAGGCCCAATCTCCAGGGGAGTGGGCCTAAGCCAGCAGGTGGACATCCCCCGAGGGGTCCCAGACTGCGAGAGGGCACAGGCTGCACTGAGGGACTCCCCCCGCCCCCCTGAGTGCACAAAATTTTGTGCACTGGGCCTCTAGTGTTTATATAAAACCATCCAGAATATAAAAGGGAAAGAACATGTTTTGAGCTTAGAAAATTGGAATTGCATAGATAGGGAAGATAATTTTCAGTTAAAGTCAGGCATCAGAATTAGATCTGGAATTATTATGAATCCTTTGTTACTAAAGTATAAAATGGTTTAAAATGCATAATGCAAAAGTTAATAGATTAGACTATAATTTTAAACTACTGTACTTTAAAAGAAAACCAAAGAGCTTATATGCATATATGAATAACCCATGGACACAGACAATAGGGTGGTGAAGGCCTGGGGTTTAGGGAAGGTGGTGAGGTGGAGGGGATCAATGGGAAACAAAAAGGGATATCTGAAATACTTTCAACAATAAAGATAAATTGAAAACAAAGAAATGCATAAACTATATAAAAAACTACATTTAAAAAGTTACCATATTTCAGCAACTGCCTATAAAGATAAATATTTATGGTGTGATAGACAAAGGTATGTAGAATGCATCCTTACAAACCAATAAGAAAAAGACCATCCCAATTGCAAATGGCCAAAAGAAGAATAAGCATTTGGGGGAGATATACAACTTTATTGGCAATCAAACCAATTCATGTATAAAGCAACTAAATTCAATATTTGTTTTGAAATTAGCAGAGTTTTTAAAAAGATAAGTGAAGGGTCAGACAAATGACCATTCTTATATTTTAATGAAAGTACAGTTTGGGTCAGCCTGCTTGGAGGGCAATTTGTCAAAAGCTTTTAAAAGCACTTGTCTTTAGATCTACCAATCCCACTTAATAATTTATTCAGAAAATATTTTGAGCAACTATGATGTACCTCATGGTTTCTAGTTATTATAAATTAAATTTCAAATACGAAGGACTAAATCTATCCTAAGGAAATAATCATATAACAGCACATTCATTTTACAAAGATGTTATTAATAATAGTAAAATATTGAATGTGAGTTAAATGTCCAACATGAGGAAGTTAGCTAAGCAAATTATGGTACATCCATGCAGTGAAATGCACTGTAACCATTACAAGGAAAAGTGAAAGTGCTCACAATATATTGTGGTGTGAAAAGGGCTAGTAACAGATGGGTATGTGCAGAATAATCCCACTATATAAATGAGTAGAAAAAAATGCTAGATTTGTATACCACTCTCCAAATAAAAAGTATCACTCAATGGGTGGGTTTTTAAATATTCTTTATATTTTCTATCCACAGTGAACATTGATTATCATTACAAGAATACAGATATTTTTATTTATTAAAAATGGTTCCTCAAGAATAAGATATGTGAATTTGAACATCATAATTGGTCACATTTACTAAGAGGGAAATAAAAAGCTCTTTACTAATTAAAATGTTTAGTGTTGGACTTAATGAACACAAACACCAAGGATTTAAATCTAATAAAACCAAAGTTGTTTCTCAGCCTCAGGCCAAAAGCCATTTTGCAGACACCATCTTGTGGTTGCAGAGACTCATATGGTGCTCTTATAAACAGGGTAAAGTCACCTCTTCTCTGATTTTACCTCTTCTGAGAAAATTCTGTCATTTCCCACACATGGTGAAGATCCACAGCCATTCCTGCAAGAATTCACAAGAAAGTAAACTTGGCATAGGTGGAATCTTTTCTAATGGTGAAATAATCCATCACTTCCTATCTAGGTTTAAGAGGTTGACCTTTGTCTATCATTTTTCTTTGAAGAAATTATACTTTAACCCAAAAGAGAGACATATACATAAATAACTCAAAGATGCGTGAAGAGAAACCCAACAAAATCACTTCTTTACCAGCCTATTACTCTCAATGTATCCAAAATATTATTGCAAAGAAGGTTAACTACTAGAATTGGGGAATTACTTACTTTATAAAAACTTTTATTGATTAATCTTATAGAAAAGAGGAAGGGAGATTACCTGTATATATAAAAGCCTAAGCGACAGGCCAATCGGCTGACCAGCTGACCGACTGACTGGCCACACACTGACCACCAGGGGGCAGACACTCAATGCAGGTGGGGAAACCACAGACATGGAAACATGCAACAGACCGATGAATCTCAGAGGGAAAGGGGTTGGAGGAGGGTGTGAAGAAATTAATCAAAGATCTTATATGCATACTAGAGACCTGGTGCATGGATTCTGCACTGGCGAGGTCCCTTGGCCTGGCCTGCGCCCTCTAGCAATCCGGGACCGCTCTGGGGAAGTTGGAGAGTTGATTTCGGCCCGATCCCCACAGACCAGGCTGAGGGACCCCACCAGTACATGAATGAGAGAGAAAAAGAGAGAGAGAGAAAGAGGGAGAGGGAGAGAGAGAAAGAGAAAGAGAGACATTGATTTGTTGTTCCACTTATTTATTCATTTTGGTTGCTTCTTGTATGTGCCCTGACAAGAGATCCAACCCTGATTCTAACCAACTGAGCTCTTCCCAGCTTGGCCAGGGTATTGTTTATTTTGATGTGGAAGACACCCACTGTGCCTTTTCTTCTTTTTTTCTTGATTTATTTGCTATAGATGAGCATTGGGCTGACAAGAAATAGGTGTGACTGAGGATGGTCATATATTTATATTTCCAGTTTGTTGTGCATTTTAAATGGTGTTTGCCATGATCCTATAATGATATGTGGTTGTTCTTTCCCCAGAATGTCGAGTTGTGAAGTCCACTTCTTACACCAAAATAGCTTCGTCATCCCGCAGGAGCACCAACAAGAGCCCAGGACCTTCCAGGCGCAGCAAGTCGCCAGCATCAACCAGCTCAGGTAAAGCAACAAAGGAGACTTTGAAGAAAGTGCCTTGTTTATGACCCATAACAAGCAGAGGGTGTGTGAAGTCCAGAGTGTGAGGGTTTAAGATAGTGTAAATTCCAGTTTATAATTTTAGAACATGTCAGAGTGGTAGAGCAGATTTTACTGGGTCTAACATGTTGGCTGTAAGACAAAACATTTATCTTGGGAACACTAACTTAGGTGAAATCAGAAAACCCAGATTTGCCCACAAATAGAAGTGTACTACTGACTTGCATAATTTCTATCACAAAAATTATTTTTTCAGGCTAAAGGCCACTAACTCTATAAGTCTCTGTTAAAGCATTTATTCCACTTGGGACTAGCTTATGAAGAGTTTCCAATTTGTATTTGCTAAATTTTAGTTTACCATTGGCCCCCAGTGAGGCTGTGGAGCTAATGGCAGTGGGAATGAGAGCCTGGTGCAGTGATAGCTGCTGTAACTTGGCCTGTGTCCTGTCTCCTGGGTTCTAGTACTGGTATTGGAGCAAGAAGTGTACTCATAAGATGACTTTGTCAGTGCTGCCTTTTCTTTCCTTGGTCTTAAAACTGATATGAGTAAGTTAGGTTGTTTTTGTTTCTGTCTTTGTGACCTTTTTTTAAAACTCAGGTGTAAGATCTATTTCATTATTAATTATTTATTAAAGATATAAACTGTGGAAGGGAATTATTAAATGATACATATATGAAAGTGATTGTCACCTGATTTCATAAAGACGGTGAAGTTCTTAGGAACAAAGGCCGTTAGGGCCTATTCAGAGGCTTTCTTGTACTCAATAGCATGGGCCCAGAGGGATGTGAATAGTTCTCTAGGCTGGGGCTACAAGGCCTGCCTCTGGCACCACTCACCAGCTGTTGTACTACTATGTAAGTTATAACCTCCATATTTAAAAATGGAGGCGCTATAATCTGTTTTTCCTAATAGTAAGTAAAACTGAAATCTCCAAAGTAAGTCTTGGAAGCAGGAACTCTCAGTAAGCTGGATAGTTAGAGCACCAAGCCCAACTTGGTTCTCTAGGAGTCACCTTCTTCTTAGGGCTTTACTGATTCCTTAGATATTCTCCAAAGACCTTGCTGTTCTTCGACACTCGAAGAGTAGCAACAATGTTCTACCACTGTTCCCTTCACATAGCATGATCTACGTTGTAATCAGCCAGGGAATAAGTCTCAAAACATGACTGGCACTTGAGATGCAGCTTGTTTAACCCTCCTAGTTTAAGAGTGGGCTGAGAATTCCTCCCTTAGTATGACAGAGCTCACCAAGATTGGATGAACACTGAAATGAGACTTTGCTAAAGGTTAAGGTAGTGAGACTCAATGTTTAGAGCATGAATGTCACTTGGTAACTTGGTAAAGTTTATCATCCTGATCCCTGCCCCCTTTTAGCAAATATTCCAGATTATTCAAATCATATAATCTATAAGCCTTTAGTTAGAGAAACAGTTGTTAAGGAAGTGGTTCCCAAAGTGTGATTCCCTGGACCAGTAGTATCATCATCACCTGACTTGTTGAAAAAGCAAGTCTTAAGCCCCTTCCCAGATCCACTGAATCAAAAACTTTGGAGTTGGAGCCCAGCAACCTGGGTTTTCCAAGCCCTCCAGGTGATGCTGATGCCTACTGTGTTATAGATACATAAGGGAAGTAGAGGAAGTGATTTGACTCTGAGTAATCTGGGGTGAAAATAGAGCTTGCTTATCTTCATTTATTGGCATGACAGACATGACTTTCTTTTCTACCTCCCTGTTTGCTTCTGAGTGGCAATGCTCATCTGTCACCCTTGCAACCCAAGGGTTTCAGACCTGTAGATACCTTGAAGTATAAATCTGAAGTGTTGGTCAAGATAACAATGAGCAAATGGCCAACCTTCAGAGCAGGGACAATTTCTGTCTGAAGATTATCCCTCCCTTGAAAAACTGATACTGGGGAAAGTCTTTCCCTTCAAGAGAGACACCATCCTCACACAGAAATGTGGACAACCACAAAATGACAATAATGCTGGAATTGCTACATGTAAAACTCCCCTAGGAGACCTTAGCTTGTTCATTAACCAACTGACAGGTTAAAACTGTGCTCTTTGGAGGATATTTAGCCTTGATCAAAGAATATTCCTCATTTTCTCTGAGCAAACCTAAACTGTAGGATGAACTCCCATGGGGCAATAAGAGAGAAAAAGATCATGGGTCCAGTCAGCCTGTTGCCCCTAAGATCTTGGCTATTTAGTACAATCACAAAAGTATGTGAAGGAGCAAGAAGCTCCACATTAACTGACACATTATCAATACTACTAAAAAATATCAATAGTAAAAAGCAGAATTAGTTCCTAATCCAAACTAACTCTGACATTGACAAATTTTATGGAACCTTTATTTTCCTTTTTGTCTTAGAATATACCATGAATTTTAAAATATCAGGTATAGTTAGGGTGAAACATCTACTAATGAGTGTTTAAGCCAAATTCTTATTGCTTTTACAATATAAATATTTCAAGAAACTCAGTATAGCTATTAATTTTTATCATTGTTTTGAACAGGTTTTGTTTTTAAGAGCTATATGCAGTTCCTAGGTTTGGGTGGAAGTCTCTTTTCTCTTTTTCATTTTGTCCCCATAAGTCAAGGAAGGTAGGAGGATGCTCAGATTACTGTGCACATGTCAGAGAATGGAATCCTGAGACCTGAAATACCTACTGTCTGTTGCTAAGGTTGCCACCACAGATGCAAGAAAAGTGACCCTGCACTTTCAGTCTATCTGTGGCAGCCAATATTGAATAAGGAAATACAGGAGGAAAACTTGGAGACAGATTTTTTACAACTCAAGTTTTACTTTGTGAATAGTAGAGAGCCTGTTTTACTTAAAAAAAATATCTAAAATTTGAGTTAAAATAAAAAGAATCATGAATCTAATCTTTAAAAGATTAAAAATGAATTCATTAAAAATGAATACAGAAAATTATTTCACTTTGAAATTAACTGGTCACTGTTCAGCATCTCTAAGATTATATAAATCTCATAAATATGATACATTTAATTATAATCTTATAAATATAGATGAATGTATCATTTACCAAAGTAATTTCAGAAACTCAAAAAAGCAGATAAGCAAATGTATTAAATGTATTTGTATTTGTTATCGCCAACATTTGGTACTATTGCTTTTATAAGTTTAAAATGATAGGTTACATTACCTTCGATTGCTTCAAACAAGCATTTATGTTTTCTATTGTTTTCTCAAAACCATCTTTTCAACTAGGGTTGAACTTAACTAACCTAGTTGATTTGATCAACATTAACTTGAAATTTGTGGTAGGGCCATGCCAGGTAATCATCTCCATAAAGAAATGAAATCCAAATTCATTCTAAAATCAATGTGTTCTTGAAAAAGTAACACTTCATTCAAGGTTTCTTTAACTGCTAGATCAAAATTAATCCAATGGCACTGTTCATGTTTTGTTTAATGTGAGTCTTTTTATGCATATAAATTTTTACACTTGCATTTTGTTCTAAAAGATATGCCAGCCAATCATTTCCTGGTTATATAACTGCTTATAATATGTATTGACTGCCTCTTAATTCTGACTTGCTACCAAATCTTACTACCTTGCTCTAATTTAGAGAGGGTTTATAGAACAGCAGTTTCCAGTCACAAATACATGGATTATGCCAGGGACCCCAAGACCACTTTCTTTCCTTGGGACTTAAGCCCAGGGTTTAGGAATCCAGTGTTATTTACATTTATTTTTTTATTTTTTTATTGGTTAAGTTATTACATAAGTGTTCTTATCCCCACGTTATCCCCTATCCCCCCCACGCATGCCCTCACCCCCCTGTTGTCTGTGTCCATTGGTTAGGCCTATATGCTTGCATATAAATCCTTTGGTTGATCTTTCCCCCTTGCCCCCACCCTCTCCTACCTTCCCTCTGAGGTTTGACGGTCTTATTGATGTTTTTCTGGGCCAGTGTAGCTGCTTGATGCCAGGGGGAGCCCCTGCCTCGGCCCTCCACTGAGCTAGTCTAGGACTCCTATCTGCACTAAGGTATGGCTCTTATAACAAGTGGAAAGGAGCAGTGACCTATCTCTATTTTGATTGCATCAACATTTTAAAAAATAGACTGTTCAGTGTTTTTCATAAGTCATAAACACTGGAATGTGAATAATTTTACTTTTATACCAGTTACATTTTAATCATTGATGTTGCCCCAAACCTTAATCACCACTATGGAACCTGACTTTTTAACAACAACAAATCTTTGGTTTTCCTCCTAATCTATTAACTTAAAGTTTAAAATAATTTCTACTTCTGTTTTTCAATTTCTACTTCTAGTATCATCTTTCTACATTATACTAAGATTAGAGGATAGTATAAAGTTAAAATTTGCTTCAATTTTCATGCCATGCTACTGTTCATGATAATATTGTTACCAATGAAACATCATAGTTTGTATGCATTGTTATCTTTGATCTTTTTTGATTCTCCCAATGATCTCCCAACAACAAACAACATGACACAATTATTTATTATTTATTGTATAATAAGGAGGAAACAGAGGCAGGGCTGGGGAAACTGGTTGGTCCAGAGTTACAGAGTTGGTAATGGCAGCTCAGGGCTGGGACCTGGGGCTTCCAGTGTTCCAGACACAGCAGGCTGGCAATGTTTAATAGCTTTTCTTCACCTCTGCTTATTAAAGTTTTGATCCTCAGGAAATAAGTAATACAGTACCTGGTTTAAGATTGCAATTTATAGCATCATAACACTTTGCAACGGAAGCCTAAGTATTAGTCCTGGACATCAGCATTTCAGGAAGTAAAATGATTCACCCCAACTTCATGATTTATGTCAATGGTTGACAGAAAGTTACCTTTGTAAGTCAATATTAGAATAAGAATGTGAATCTTCTATAAATTTTATCTTTGTCCCATATCTATTCCTCTTCTTGGGACTAAAAGCAGTTAGAGGTGTTTTATTTTATTTTATTATTTTG